AAATACCGTATTCGGCATTATGGGCACTGAAAGGATGAGAACTGCAGGGAGGACCGGCAGTTGTTCCGCCTCAAGCTGGAGGCAGGATTCTACGCTTTTTTTTTTTTTTTTTTTCTTTCGGTAGATATTCGGCTCAGAATAGGCACGCACGTGAAGAAGACAGAAACTGCACGGATGCAAGTTCCGCTACAACTCTGTCGCAACAGAATACGGCACCCAGGTTCAAATGGGCACACCGTTTCGTTCCATCACGAAACCTGCAGGCGCAGGCTCGTTCGTGAATCCCCAACACGCTTTCCATAATCCGCTTTTCTGTCGCCAACTTGACCAAACCAAACGCCCGTGAGCTGCCCTTGAATCGTTCCAAGGTTGCACGATCGGTCGCAATCCCGGATGACGTCACGGCTTTGCGCATTCCTGAACCCGACGCCTTGCAATGGTCCGGATGTGGCTCTTTTTTTTTTTACTTTCGTTTCTCCACTCCGAACGCATTGATGTTATTGAGTTTTCTTGGTGTTTTTTTTTTTTTTTTTTTTCTTTTCGGGCTTTTTCTGTTGTCAGTCTGAGAGATGGATTGGATTTTGGCTGCCACCCCTGCTTTCCCGCTAGACCCTCGAAATGTGGTAGGGTTGTTTTAGTTCACACTGTGTCAAGTGGGTCGTCGAAAAGCTTGTTCGTGGTTAACGTTTTTTTTTTTTTTTTTTTGGATGATAAGAGAGGACAGTGGTGCTGTATGACGGTATGACCATAGTGCAGGCAAGATGTTCAACACGAAGTGGAAGCTCTTCTCACTTCTTTCCACCTTACTAGAGCGGATCCTGGGTACCGGCGTGCGGTCCTGTATCCAGGCTAGCAGTCGTACCGCATTGCCTAAATCGCTCGACTCCAGTGGGTAACAATTTCACCATGCTCTTGTCGACTAAACTTCCACTGTATAAACAACTAGCGACTAATTTTTTTTTTTGCAATGTCGCCATACACTGGTATACGAAACTACTCTGTCCCGTTTATTTCTGCTACGGTAAATACTGCCAAAACTGTCTAAGGCAATGAGGAAATAGTTACCGCGTAAATAAAATACAGAAAACCCTGGGATATAGAGAGCAACAAAAATGCTAATGACAAAGTATTGAGAAAATGGCGAACCATTTTCGTTTGTCTGCAGACCAGGATCGCTATCGTCCCTTCTAGGATCCCGTATGCGAAACGGGACAAAAGTCTAGAGAGAAAAAAAAAAAAGTGCTAAAAAATGGGTCCTTAGTGTTTCATTGTTCTCGAGTTTGTTGCGCCCTTTTGTGATGGAACTGCGTAAGAGTAGGCTGACTCAATTCTTTTGTGAAAGCGGAGTAAGTGCGGCCTGATTTCGAAGAAAAGATGCAACCTTGAAGATACAGAGCCCCAGCACAGTCTTTCTGAGACCTTCTTCTACGGGCACGCTTCAATCGTGTGGGTCCCCCGCCAGAGAGGGACAACGCCAAAGAACTGCACAACAAACCAAAACAGCAAGAAAAAAAAAAAAAAAAAAGGGACAGATTACAGAACAAAACGAAACGTGGTCCTGGATAAGAACTTGTCAATCTACATAAAGTTGTGTAATGCATTGTTTTTTTTTGTGTGTGTGTGTGTTTATGAAAGCATGTAGGTTCTGACGCGAACTCGTGTCCAGTCATTGAAAACACGAGACCCAGGTGGTGACTCGTGTTCAATGTGCCTCGCGTAGGCCTTATTCAGGTGGCGTCAGAAATGTACCGAGGAGGTGCCGCCGGCACAGGCGTCATCATCATTGCAGTCGAGAGAGGAAATATGATGATGATGATCAGAGTCCGCGATGCTTTTTTTCTTTTTCGTCGGTTCCATCCGCGCCTGACACTGAAGAGCGCATGGCTTCACGGTATTGTTGAGGCAATCACTATCAAAGTCCGGGTCCAGAATCGACTCGAACGACCGAACCCGAGCCTGCGGTTTCCGGCGGCCGTGTGGCACGGCACCTGCACCTGCTCTTCAAGGGCAGCCCACAGCGTCGAATGGAAGCGCAGGTCACCGGGTCGTGCCCGTCGTCGACGGAAAACTGAGTCGCCTTCATTGTGTGCCTCCGCGTGGACTCGATCCAGACACGGCTACCAGGTCTCATGTATCTCCGTGTTCACCGGCGCCGGGTAGGCGGGTGAAAATAGAAAAGAACACTCGCATTGGACTTTGCCTAAACGGATTCCGGGATAAAAATCTGCCCTACAATGAGCTCTGTTTGGTCTATCGGTATCATTTAGCGCTTACCAAAGGAAGAATACTCAAGGTAGCATGTAGGTCTCGTTTCACGTTGTGAGGAAACTAGCCTCTCGTCTTGGGGAATTCACAGGAAAGATTGCAGACGACGTGCGCGCGAAAACAACCAGAAAAAAAGAGAGAGATCGGACAACAAGATTATGTGCGTTCAATTTTGCAACAGCGTGACGCAGAAGCAGCCTGTGTTTGCCACGCCTCTCGTGACTCGCGCTCGTTTGACCTTTCCTGTTTTGAAGTAGACGTACTGAGCGCGTAACCGATACTTTGATTAGGTACCACGAGAGGAAGGCAACCTTGCCGGCTACGTCTCCAACTTGATTTTGAGTTTTCCGACTGCCCAACAAGGAAAGCGGGCCCCGGACGGTGTATAATCTGGAAAGCTAAGCAAACAGGGCCGTTGCCAAGGCAGCGAGCACGCGGAGTCACGCCGTGTTGGCCAATCGAAGCCGCGGGTTTGCTGGCAACGCAATCAGCGACGTGACTCACCGACAATGGCGAGACGCTTCACGAGAGTACAACGAGAGCGTGCGTACAACAACACGCAGCTGCAACTTCGACCCAACCACCTGTCGTTCTGTTCTGCCTGTGTGCGTAGCAGAACTTGCCGTTCAAATGCGTCCGCGTCATCCCATGGAGCGTTGCCTTTATTTGCTTCAGATCAGGTGTTGGCTGCCGCACAGTCAAACCATGACCACATTCCATGTTGACCTATATATAAAATTAAAAAAAAAAAAAGTTTTTTTGTTTGTTTTGAAGTGAAAGCGATTCGAGCTTTATCGAATGTTATATTTTCACTCAAATTTTCTCGAATTCTCTTCTATCATGCGAATCAGAGGCGAGGTTCACATGAATGATGAATGCGACAGAAGCGCATGGAAGTGAGTAAGAACTAAAACAGGCGCACCCAATCACTTTTGTCAAATCTCGATTCGAATATGATTGGGCCACATCCATGCAGACGCTGCCACATACTGATTGTATGGTTTATAACATGGGCACATTATACCTCATGAGTTTCGTCTTCGCAACAAAAGAAAGACGGAGAACTTGCTATAATGGCGGCGTCGAACCGCAGCAGACGACGTGACCCAATTTTCTGTATTTTCGTCGGTAATCATCGAGTAGACGAGTCACGTGTTGTTAGAAGCTCACGCGCGTTCTACGTATTAACCAGCTACCGGTTCCTTTGCGTTTTGCCTTGTGATGACGCGCGCGTCGTGGACTACTTTTGAATCAACACGCGTTTCCTCTTTGAGGCTGGTTCACCAACCAGCCTCGCCTCAAACGAGCCACTGTTATCGTGCTAAATAACGATCGCTATACTTCCCTAAATACTACGACGAATAAAAACGTTTATGAAACAACATGATCGCTACTTTCGAGGGAACACCTGTGCGGAGGTAGGATTATTTTCCTCTTGAAACGTCAAGAGGAAAACTTCGCCATTACACAAAAGGCATTCTTTTCAGCCGTAGTTCTCTAAACGAAGAAAAAGAATGTTGGACGGTTCAAGGAAAACACTCAGTTCAAATAAAAGCGTCATCGAGCTCGCGTAATCTCTTTGCTTTTCTCTCCCAGAAGGATCCGAAAGGTGGCGTCAGTCAGCGCAGGGCCACAGGCCTCATCGACCAAAACTGCAAGCCCACTTGACGAGGTTCAAAGTCCGTCCGCCGTCCCCGCCGAGGTCGCAACCGCTGTGTGCACAAAATGCCTAGGCCCGTGATAGTGCGGCTTCTACGACAAACAACGCTATCTGAGCAATGGCGATAAAGAGACCGACCGAGACAGGTACTATATGCATCCCGATGTCACGTACTCTTTGAGCGTCAACGCGTTTGAAACTTGACAAAACTTGCGTACACATCCGAAACGCAGAAGGCCTGCGAAAACTCACGTTCACAATGGTTCTCAAAAGTTCACACTTCCGTTGTTGTTGATTTTTTCCCTTTCGTTGCAAGGCGACGCAACGCGATTTCGGTTTGTTGGGAGACTAGGACTCCAGCGAGTGGCAGGTTTGGGAATGGCAATATGTGTTATCATGAAGATGACAGAACCTTGAGAGGATATATGAATAGGTGACTTGATTCGGTGTCTCGATAGTAAACGTGTGTTAGAGGCAGTGCAGGTAGATGCCGTCCGATACGGTGTTTCAAATGGGCGCTCTTCCATAGGCATCAAAGCCGGTTTTGGCGCTTGATCCGCGATGTGGGCTTTGCCGCAGTACCCTGCGATGACCCGCGTTTTGGTGCGCAGATCGTAAACGCCGACCGCAAGATCCCTTTTCCTTTTTTTTTCCCTGATTTGATATAGACAGCACAAATAAATTAATTTGTGTAACTTTCTTGCTGTTTCGTTTTTGCCCTTTTTTATGCGCCAACGAGTATGAGGGAATATTGATGTTTTTAACTACTGGAATGAAAGAAAAATTTTCACGCGAGGAAGCTCATATTCTCAAAGTTTTCAAGAAAATGAGATGTCAAAATGACGCCAATCTCAACTTTAAAAAAAAAAAAAAGAAGAAAACTCAGGGAAAAGATAAAAAATATAGTGACGATGAGATATTTAAAAGAAAATATAATTATTATGACATAAAAAACAGGTAAACAAATTTAGAGAAATGTGAAAGTGCCGGAGGGAAAGGCGGTTCGAAGGGGGCGTTCCTTCGCCGTCAAGCACAAGAAAAAACTACGCAGAAAAATATTTAAAAAAAAGCATACCTGTGTTGGTTCTAGGTGCGACGTAGCTTGCAACATCCCACGGGGACATGTATCCAAAAAGCAGCATGATGCCGACCTTCTCCACGTAGTCGTAAAAGCACAAGCAGCAGCTCGGCGCACCCCTCGGCGCCGCCAAAATATCCCCGACGCACGGCAGCAGGTGGTCCCCCTAAGCACGCTCTCCCGAGTCCCAACACTGTTACCTCCACGAAACTGGAGAGTTGCCGCACTCGCCACGAATCCGACACTTAAACCTCGGCGGATCTACGAACACCGACTGCCTGGGAATGCCAGGGACGTCTTCTCGAAGCACCACGTAGAACGGGGCCACAACACACGCTACACGACGACTCCACAGCGTGAGGCCGTGCCAGCCATGCAGCCTCTACCTTTCGTGCGCGCGAGATTTCCTCGCGACCACCGGCGTCCCCTTTCTCGTTTTCGCCCTTTCCATGCGCGTCCCTTTTCCTCCTCGCCTTTCGAGTCACGTGGCTCGTGACGTCAAAATGGCGGGAGAGCTCCGCGGCGCCGCCTCGCGTGACGCTTTGGAAGTTTCTGGCTGAGATTGTAACAGCCCGCGGAGAGGCGTTGCCTCCGCGCAGGTAGAAGTTGTCGCGGTTTTTTTTTAATTTTTTTTTTATTGAGAGTAGATTAGTGTGTGTGTATGTGTGTGTATTTTTTATTTTCCTCTCTATCTAAGATGAGTTTCTCAGCCGGAAAAACCGGTTTTGGGTTGCCTTTTGCGTGCAAGGAGGAGCTTGACCCCTAAGGAGGAGAGCCGGTTTGACTTTTTTTTCTTTGCTTTTTTTATAATTTTATTTGAGACTTTTTATTGGTCGATGTGTTTCTTTTTCATGCTAAGAAGGTAGCTGACTACGTGTTTTGTTTGGCTACGGGGTACGCGAGCCAGCCGTGTTCGCCTCAGAAAGCGTGCGCGAGCAAGGGGGGGGGGGGGGGGGGGGGGAGGGAGGGAGGGGAGAGAAAGCGAGGGTAAGAGCGACAGCCAATGGGAAGGAAGCAGGCACGTGACCGAGGGGACTGACGGAAGATTGGCGGTCTGTCTGACAGGTGGACGGCTCCGCTAGACGGAAGAAAAAACGTTCAAAAGGGGGGAAAAGAAAGCTTGTCCTTTTAAAGTCTGCCAGGCTGGATGCTGGCTTCTTTCCTTCTTGCTTGCGTTTGTGCTACGTGGCGCCACCGTGCGAGAAAAAGAGGCACCTTTGGGGGTTTTCGTTTTTATTTCTGGAAGACTGCATGCTTGTTGTTGATGCTGGATGCTCCCCGGGCTCCAGCGTGAGCGACGCAGAAGACGTGTTTATCAAAAAGGGATAAGAAGAAAAACAGTAAATAGAAGCATCGACGACGCGTCGACTCTTCACAGTGTTGTCAGGATTAATTGAGGATGGCTGAACCTGTCATTTGTTGATTCAGTCTGAAAACAGCAACAGGTCGAACCATCGTGCGGAAGGGAACAAGAAACATTCACAAACAGCACCTGCTGACATCTGCAATCGGTTCGAAAATGTGGCTCAGCCTCTCTTACTGCCTGACAATTACAGCTTCGTCGGCGCGGCGCCACGTCTTTACAACTTTGTTTGTATGTCGCAGCATTCCCAGTAGGAGTTGGGCTGGCTGCAGCAGTATCATAGAAGAACTCACGTCTTTTTTACGTATAATTTATACCTAAATATAGTATTCCAGGTAATGTGTTCTCTTTAATCATTTTGCTATTCCCAATTAGGATGAATATGTAGTAGTGATTCAAGCACCGTAAAACCTAAATGGGTTTAGCCTAATTTCGGGAGAACCTAAATGTTCACAAATTATATATATATATATATATATCTAAAGCGCGCGCATCCTGAACAACCCGAGTTATCCCCTTTGTTGCGTTGGAGATATAGTAAACTTTTCGTTAATTCTGATGAAGCTATACTATACGGATATGTGTCTTTTCATAACCTACACGCGAAAATGAGCTGGTCCCGCATATTTTAGCGTTTTCTCGTCAAAACGTAAAAAATACCCCCCCCCCCCCCCCCCCACACACACACACACACACGAAAAAAAAAAAAATGCCGAGAAAAAGAGAGACAAAAAGAAAACATCTTTAATGATCCCTAGTTCAGGGTGTCAGAAATGCTGTACCAAGGTACGGCTGTACACCGTATCACCAAAACGCGCGCGCGAGGGAGAGCTCCATCGAGTCGCGGAATGGACGGGGCTTTTGGACGAGTCTCCCTTCCCCCGGACACTTTTCGTCTGTCGCCTACAACAGACCGGCGCCGTCGTGAAGGCATGTTTGGCATGCCCACCGCCGCCGCAAAGCGATGGCCCGGGCGCGCATGCCAGAGACATTAGGCCACGAGCGACGAAGCTCTTCTAATAGCTTCGATGTCCCCCTCGTCCCGACCGCTGCTGCCCCGGCAGCTCCCCTTCTCCGCTTTGCCTGTACCAAAGCCGACGCCACGAACCATTCCAGCCAATCCAGCGTCCAGAAGCCGCGCTCGAACTACTCGTACATCGCGCCAAAGAGTCGTTTTTTTCTTGTATGGCGGTCCCATTGGCGATGCAATAACTGTCCGCAGTCCGTGTTCCATGCATACACACCCTAAAAAAAGTCTGTACGTCTACTTCTACACTCGGAGAACCATTCAGCGCAGCTTGTGGAGGCAGCTCAGCGAATGACGATGCCGAAACATATGTTTAGACCAAAAACCGCAGTCTGAGTTGTGATATTAATTCAATGCAAAACGTCACGCTTGCATTGCTTAATGTCACAACTCAGACTGCGTTTTTTGGTCTAAACATATGTTTCTGCATCGTCATTCGCTGAGCTGCCTCCGTAAGTTGCGCTGATTGGTTCTCCGAGTGTTGTGCGTGAAAATAGACGCACAGACTTTTTTTAGAGTGCATATGTATTCCATGGTGAAGTTCGAACGTGCACGAGGCGTGCCCGCAAATAGTTCGGTCATAGCGAACGCAATAGCGAACGCAATGTCTTCTGTATGATCTGTGTGGCCGCCGCTTGAACGTACCCCACGTGAGTGCGCGTTTCCCGCGTTGTCGCTGCATTCTTCCCGGTCACGTGCCACTTACGCTGAGTTAGATTGGCTAGGACGGCTCGTAGCGTCCGCGGCGGTCCATCGATCTTGAGGTGGGACGGAGAGCCGAGGGCGATATCGCGACGCCATCGGCTGCGTGATGCCAGAGCTGGATGGATGGATAGAGAGAGACTCGGAGCAGACGACGTCGCCCTAGAGAGAGAGAGGGAGGGGAGGCGGTTCCACCATGAGGCGTTTTTAGTGGCGGGCGCGTGTGGCATGCGCCATGACCTCCGAGATCCGACGCACGCGGACGATTGCGCCTTCAGTTTTGGTGCTAAAGCCCCTCGGGCAAAAGAAAAGAAATAAAAAGTGGAGGTCCTCTTTTGGGACCCCTATGGCGTCCCCATCATCTGCTTTCACGATCCCGAGGTTATGACATAATCTCCGCCCGTCGTGGCCTGGGCAGTTCGAGCAGAACGAAATGCCTAAAATATCGGATTTGAAAGACGTCTCTCAACCGACATTACCGTGTCTTCTATTTTATTTTATTTTGGTTTTATTATTATTTATTTAGAGATCGCAATGACTTAGTTCTTGTCTTTGACATGCATTCTGTTTCCCTTGAAAATTCTTGCATATTTAAAAATAGACAGTTAGACGGCGCTTTTTAAACACACCATCGAACTTGTCGAGCCAACTGATGGTAAGTAGCCCGGGTAACAACTCGTGACGTCACGGCGATGCAAACACTCGTCGTGACGTCACGGACGGGAACCATGAGAGGGCGCCACCGAAACATCTCGGCGACGTTATCTATAGCGACAGTACCGATAGACACTTTCCAAAAATGTGCTCCATCTATACCCGTTTTCACCTCAAGAAAAAAGGAAGTTTTGCTCCATGTTCCTACGCCGCGCGAAATAGTTCTCACAAAATTTGGTCGTCGGACGCAGGAGCGGTGCTTTTGGCGTTGGAAACGTGTGCGTCTTGATAAGAGAACACAAATCTAATCTAAAATACACCTACGTATATCTCAATTCTCAGCATAAAGAGGGAAATTAGTAATGCTCCGCGAGGAGCTGGACTTTTTTTTACTACGGTTCTTGAGGTGAAAACGGGTATAGTAACTGCCGCGCCGATTTGCCGAGTCCGTCTTTGTTTGGTTACGTATGCTTTGAGCATGTATTGAACACGAGGGCTTCGTCTGCGTTCGGCGTGAATTCGGATCCAATCAACGCGCTCAGTCGTGTCAATGGCTACGGCCAATGTTGCCTGATCGGGTTTTCAAAGGGGTTTGCGCTTCCTAAACTGACGCGCCAGGTCGGGTTTGTCCGCTCTACGTTTAGCTATCGAGCCACGGCGAATGAACGCACGCAATCTCACGGTTTAGTGGGCCAGGAAAGGCTATCGCATTTAGAAAATAATTTATCGAGGTTCATCGAGTTTAGCTTCTTATGGCGTGACACAGAAACTGCGCACAAGCACTGTGTACCTTGTTCGTAAGAATGCCCTCTCGACAAGTTACTAGTAAAAAGTATTGGTAGACAAAATAATGATTCGACATACGGTCGCTAAAAGAGCTTCCGCTAGAGGTCGCCTCTTGCACTGCACCATCAGCACTCTTTTTACACACTTCAGAAATAAAGGGCGTACCTGCGACAGCACCCCATTCTACGAGCGAAAAGGGCGTAATACTCGAAACAAGGGTGCTGACAGAAGGTAGCCATCGGTGTATGTCTGCATACTACATCGACGAATTCTCGCCTGTACCGCCGCTTTTTACTTGGAGATATATTCCGTGAACTTGAAGATATATATATGCTTTATGCGAAATACTCGCTATAACGGACTAACATATTTGTAACCGATGAAATATACGAACCTTTAGTCATTAACGTTGTAAATAAGAGGCTGAACATTTTACTCTCTCTCTCTCTAGACCTCGTATACCCTGAAAAGCATTCGTGCGTTTCGGTTTTCTTTTTGTCGCCCGTCCCTAATTTTGTGCTTTCGCTCGAAAGTAAAATAATGACCAGCATGAAGTTACATGAATTACATGTAACAAAAGAAAACAAACATTTGATATGGTTTCTTTGTTGTCCATTCCGTTTTGCATATTTTATATATATTTCTTTTCTCCCCAGTCGCTCGAGCTCGAGGTCGGTGCCTCGACCTCGGGAACAGAGTGCGGCAAGCGACGGCGGCGACGGCGGCTGCGATCATCGCTGACCCGTGGCGACTCCGCTGTCGGCGGGCAGGCCCCGGTGGCTTCGTTCAGCCTGAGCTTGGCCCCGGCGGAGGCAGGGGGCGCCGTCCCCTCCTCCAACCTAGAGTTCCTGTATAGCTACCTACGG